TCCCGAAAGTTGGTCCACCAGAGGAGAAAAATTTACGTACATAAGACGTACGCAGATGTATACATAATGAATGATATATTCACGTTATATTGGCATTATATTCGCGTTATATCCCCTGTAACCTCCATGTAACTTACATGTAACCTACAAATATGTGAAAACATGAGCGGGGAACTTATTTGTAAGTTCAGTTAGGTTGCATATAGATTATATAGAGGTTATATCAATGTTACAAGCGATATAACGCAAATATAATCCGGATATAACGTAAATATAACATTTATTATGTACGCAGCGCTGACGCAAATTTTTCTCCCACCAGGACTATTAAAACATTATTACTTTGTTTTTCTCCTTAATAGAGCAAATTGATATTAAGCTTGACCTCATATCTGTGATACTGATCAACAGCAACATCAGCATTGCTGAAATCTATGATCTTACCTGTAAATTAGAAAAAAATCCTTTCTTTTTAGAAACTTCCAAGAGACATTTACATGCATACCACATAATTCTTATTTAGTTACATATCTAACATTTAAACATTCATATTTAAATGCTTACCACTTAAATCTTTAACTTTGCTTTTAAAAAAACCACCATCACTATTTTTCTAAAATTGAAATTCACCTTTTCATGCATATTTTGATGACATCAAGGTGTTATAGTGCAAATATCAAACTTTGGACGTTAGATATGTAAATACATAAGAATTGTGTTGGAAAGTATGTAAATTTTCAAAAAAGCATTAAGGAAATAACTCAGCCTATAGCTTACCAAATGAATGGGCAAACTTATCCCAAACTGTCGGCCCTCTTCCATCCTCATTTACTGCTCCCTCATACTACAAACAAAATAACAAAATGAGTTCGAAACTGAAAGGATGTCGTTCGCATTTTTAAGAAATAATGAGCAAATAAAACAGAAGTAAACACACCAAGAATTTTATATAAGTTCACCAAAATTATGGTCATGTCATGTTACTACCACTATAGATTTCACTATGGTCATGTTACTACCACTATAGAATTTCTCATATATCATCCAAAGATGTTCTCCCTGGATCACTTTTAATTTGTAATTTTTATTTTGTTTCATTTATGGTTTGATTTGAAACAAAATTTGTTTCTCATATTTGATTGAGATAAAATTATTTTTAAATACAAGCATTTCAAAAAAATATTAATTTACTTTTAAAAACAATAAATAAAATCATGTAAAAGCACTTTAAAAATAATAAAATTGATCCCAAATAAGACCTAAATAAACAAAAAAATATATAGTAAGATCCCGAAAGTTGGTCCACCAGAGGAGAAAAATTTATGTACATAAGATGTACGCAGATGTGTACATAATGAAGGATATATTGACGTTATATTGGCATTATATTAGCGTTATATCCCCTGTAACCTCCATGTAACATGTAATCTACATGGAACCTACATATATGTAAAAACATGAGCGCGAAACTTATTTGTAAGCTCAGTTAGGTTGCATTTAGATTATATAGTGGTTACATCGATGTTACAAACGATATAACGCAAATATAATCCGGATATAACATAAATATAATATTTATTATGTAAGCAGCGCTGCGTGCGCAAATTTTTCTCCCACCACAGAGTGGGACAAAAATTAATTAGGCCCACAGCTTAACAAAGAGGAGGAGACTCTCATTTGTTTAAAAAAATAACATGCTATCTTTGATTAGAAAAACATTACTTTTTCACAAACAATAAACTACTGAAATTTTAGAGCAAATATTTATCTAGAACTTTAATTCAACAGGCAAAGCATCTTTTTTCAAATAATTATTAAAATACATTTTTTTTTAGTTAAAGATTCCAAATTTGCACAAAAATCCACAATTTCATATTGTAAATCAAACTTTCTCACACAAAAGAACAAAATTCATCTTCCTTCATCGTTCATTCCCCTCAGTATCCATTAAAACCAAAACCAAATGAACAAAATCTTCTTCACACTCAAAAACAAGTAAAATTACAAATAAAAACTCTTCAAATTTTGAAAAGCAAACAAATTTCAAATCAGAAGAAAATCAGAAGAAGCTCAGTTTTTGCGCATTGCTGATTTAACCCAAAAATAAAATAAATTTCCAAAATTTACAAGCTTTCAATAACACCTGATACGCAGAAGAAGCCGTTCCAAACACAAACCCATTCGGGAAACTCCCCCTGCTCAACTCATCGCCCGCCGACAGC